TATATATTGTAGAGCTTCGCACACCGGCGACGCCGGTACGGGTCGGGGGAGGGAAAGAGAGAGGGGGATGTCATCTGAACTTGCGAACATGACATGCTGAGGGTCGGCGGCCTATCTTGGGGCTATGTTGGCCCATCTTGAGGCTATGTTGGCCTATGCCTAGTGTTGTAATTTACAGCATTTTGTGCTGTGAGATGGTAAGAACCCGTGTAAATACCACAGTTTTAGTCCCCGAAAGTGGCTAAAACACTCTTATTTACAGAGTTTCGTTCACATCACGATCTTCGATTTTTTGAAAAACGTGTAAATACCAGCGTTTTTTGCATTCATCAAGACAAAAAATCGGTTCAAAAAGTGCAAAACATGCTGTAATTTACAGGGGGGTGGCCCCGTCACAAGCAAAAAACTGCGTAAATACCAGCGTTTCGGCGTCCAAAAGTTGCCAAAACACCGCTATTTACAGTGTTTCGTGCCTTCCACGATTTTGCTTGAAATTGCAGAAACATTGTAAATACCAGCATTTTTTGCGATCAACCCGCCAAAAATGCTGTAATTTACAGTGTTTTTTTTGCTTGGCTTTCAAACACACTGGTATTTGCAGTGTTTTGTGCATCTCGGGTCCAAAAAGTACTGGTATTTACAGCATTTTCTGCGTTTTTGCATGGCTCCCGCCAACGACGTTAAAACGCAAAAATGTTGTAATTTACAGCATTTTGTGACTTCCGAAAAACGAAAAATCGTCCGAAAAATGTGTCAAAACGGTACTTTTTTCCGATTTTTGGGACCTCCAAAACGCATCTTCAAATTTCACCCTCTTTTTTCCCACCCCGAACCCCCAAAAACGTGAAAACCCCAGCAGGCTGAAGGATTTTGGGGGAGGGTGTGTCAAAACGGTACTTTTTTCCGATTTTTGGGACCTCCAAAACGCATCTTCAAATTTTACCCTCTTTTTGTCCACCCCAGACCCCGAAAAACGTGAAAACCCCACCAGGCTAAAGGATTTTTGGGGAGGGTCGGCGGCAGGGGCGCGCCCCCGGGTAGCTAAAGCTATGCTTAGCTTCCCCACACGACACGGCGAGGCGTCGCCGGATTATTATGGGGCTACGCCCCCTGCCGCCGACCCCTGGGAGAGAGTGAGTTTGGAACCCTTCGTGTGCCTGCAGTGAACATCTTCCACAGTGATGGCGGCCGATGCTCAGTCAAAGTCGCACTTAGATCGTTGATGGCCCAAGCTTGCAGGAGTAGACGTCGCCAGCATGGCCTCCAGACATTCATGGAATTTGAACGGAATCAGAAGATCAGCAATTCGAAAGATGAACATTCAAAGAGCACAGGGCAATCGAAATCATAGAAACTCTCAATGCATTTGTACACTAGACACAAGCACCATATCAAAGAAACCATCTGATCATCCTACTTGTAGAGTCATCCCCAGTGTCATTACCCTAGGTAGCACATCGATAGGGTCGTTACATCATGGTGTAATTATACATCTTCAAACATCTTCAAACTAGCAAGCCTATGCAAGATAGATGCAATATAGATGCAAGATAGTAGATCGAGATGCACGTGCAAGACTACCGAGTGGCTGGTGGCCGCACCAAACGAACTAGGTCGTCAAGAAAAGTAGCTGTTGGGTCCCAACAGCGCTTAAACTTAAACTAGCCTTTGAAGCCTGCAGCTGCCAGCTTTGGTGGCCGCTTCCGAAACGGGAAAACACCATGGCATGCCGGTCCCAACGGCGCTTCTGAAGCCCCGGTGCCACTGCCTAACGTCGCTTTCTGAGCCTGCAGCTGACTGCTTTGGCGGCCGCTTCCGAAACAGGAAAACACCATGGCATGCCGCTCCCAACGGCGCTTCCGAGGCCCCGGTGCCAGTGCCTAACGTCACTTTCTGAACCGACTAGAAAACTAGCCTTTGAAGCCTGCAGCTGCCAGCTTTGGCGGCCGCTTCCGAAACAGGAAAACACCATGGCATGCCGGTCCCAACGGCGCTTCCGAGGCCCCGGTGCCAGTGCACTAACGTCACTTTCTGAAACCGACTAGGGGGGCTAAGTCAAATCTCTGGATACTACTGTAGAATAGGGAGAGAGTGAATTCGAAGCCGTCGAAGGGTTGCTAAAGAAAACTAGCCTTGAAACCTGCAGCTGCCATCTTTGGCGGCCGCTTCCGAAACAGGGAAAAACACCAATGGCATCCGTCCCAACGGCGCTTCGAGGCCCCCCGGTGCCAGGCTAACGTCACTTTCTGAACCGACTAGAACTAGCTTCCAAGCTAGCCCAGAGGCCAAACGTACTTTCTAACCGATAGAAGTGAAGCGGATCTTCTTTTTCTTCGTCCTCTTCGTTTTCTTGTTCTTCTTGTGGCCTTCTTTCTGAGCCCGCTAGAAAACTAGCCTTTGAAGCCTGCAGCTGCCAGCTTTGGCGGCCGCTTCCGAAACAGGAAAACACCATGGCATGCCGGTCCCAACGGCGCTTCCGAGGCCCCGGTGCCAGTGCCTAACGTCACTTTGTGAACCGACTAGAAAACTAGCCTTTGAAGCCTGCAGCTGCCAGCTTTGGCGGCCGCTTCCGAAACAGGAAAACACCATGGCATGCCGGTCCCAACGGCGCTTCCGAGGCCCCGGTGCCAGTGCCTAACGTCACTTTCTGAACCGACTAGAAAACTAGCCTTTGAAGCCTGCAGCTGCTAGCTTTGGCGGCCGCTTCCGAAACAGGAAAACACCATGGCATGCCGGTCCCAACGGCGCTTCCGAGGCCCCGGTGCCAGTGCCTAACGTCACTTTCTGAACCGACTAGAAAACTAGCCTTTGAAGCCTGCAGCTGCCAACTTTGGCGGCCGCTTCCGAAACAGGAAAACACCATGGCATGCCGGTCCCAACGGCGCTTCCGAGGCCCCGGTGCCAGTGCCTAACGTCACTTTCTGAACCGACTAGAAACTAGCCCTTTGAAGCCTGCCGCTGCCAGCTTTGGCGGCCGTCTTTCCGAAACAGAAAAACACATGGCATGCCGGTCCCTCCCAACGCCTTCGAGGCCCCTGTGGCCAGTGCCTCCGTCACTTTCTTGAACCGCTAGAAAACTAGCCTTTGAAGCCTGCAGCTGCCAGCTTTGGCGGCCGCTTCCGAAACAGGAAAACACCATGGCATGCCGGTCCCAACGGCGCTTCCGAGGCCCCGGTGCTAGAAAACTAGCCTTTGAAGCCTGCAGCTGCCAGCTTTGGCGGCCGCTTCCGAAACAGGAAAACACCATGGCATGCCGGTCCCAACGGCGCTTCCGAGGCCCCGGTGCCAGTGCCTAACGTCACTTTCTGAACCGACTCGAAATTAGCTCCAAGCTAGCCCAGAGAGCCAAACGTCACTTTCTGAACCGACTAGAAGTGAAGGACGGATCTTCTTCTTCTTCGTCTTCTTCGTTTTCTTGTTCTTCTTGTTGCTTCCTGGCTTCTTGTTTCTTGCTTCTTGCTTCTTGTTTCTTGTTTCTTGCTTCTTGCTTCTTGCCCTTGCTGCTTGTAATGACTTCTTGCCACGGCCCCCAGTGCCTAACGTTGCTTTCTGAACCTACAAGAAAACTAGCTGTCTTCCAGCCGCCAAGCCTCACAAACGGCACCTTCGCCACACCAAAACAGCAAGGCCCTGAGGGACGGACCGGGCCTGCGGGCCACGGCCCCCAGTGCCTAACGTCACTTTCTGAACTTACAAGAAAACTATAGCTGTCTGACCCAAAACGGCGCCTGCGCCACAGCCAAACAGCAAGGCGCTGAGGGACGGACCGGGCCTGCGGGCCACGGCCCCTTCCGAGGCCCCGGTGCCAGTGCCTAACGTCGCTTTCTGAGCCCGCTAGAAAACTAGCCTTTGAAGCCTGCAGCTGCCAGCTTTGGCGGCCGCTTCCGGAACAGGAAAACACCATGGCATGCCGGTCCCAACGGCGCTTCCGAGGCCCCGGTGCCAGTGCCTAACGTCACTTTCTGAACCGACTAGAAAACTAGACTTTGAAGCCTGCAGCTGCCAGCTTTGGCGGCCGCTTCCGAAACAGGAAAACACCATGGCATGCCGGTCCCAACGGCGCTTCCGAGGCCCCGGTGCCAGTGCCTAACGTCACTTTCTGAACCGACTAGAAAACTAGCCTTTGAAACCTGCAGCTGCCAGCTTTGGCGGCCGCTTCCGAAACAGGAAAACACCATGGCATGCCGGTCCCAACGGCGCTTCCGAGGCCCCGGTGCCAGTGCCTAACGTCACTTTCTGAACCGACTAGAAACTAGCTCCAAGCAGCCAAACGTCACTTTCTGAACCGACTAGAAGTGAAGGACGGATCTTCTTCTTCTTCGTCTTCTTCGTTTTCTTGTTCTTCTTGTTGCTTCCTGGCTTCTTGTTTCTTGCTTCTTGCTTCTTGCTTCTTGTTTCTTGTTTCTTGTTTCTTGTTTCTTGCTTCTTGCTTCTTGCCCTTGCCCCTCACTTGCACTGCACAACACTTGTTGCTTGTAATCTCTTCTCTGACGCGCTCCCCCTGCTGTCGGCAGGGGTCGGCGGATATAGATTTTATACATATATATATATATATTATATGCATGTTCTAAGTACAGATATATGCATATTCTAAGTACAGTTATTCTAAGTACCAGATTCGTCTCGTAATGGCTTTATTCTAAGTACTGGTTTTCAATGGTTTTCAAATTTTGGAAAAATGTTTTATTCTAAGTATAAGTCCGTGAGTATAATGATTTGACTGTGACTATGATTATGTTGGTGTTGGTGTTGGTGTTGGTGACGTCGGTGATGTTGACGCTGATCTCCCAGGATGTCCTCCTTGCAAAAATCTGCAAATAGCGCGTGCTTTTGTCAGCATACATACTTCGCAACGCTGTAGAACATCCCTATGTTCAACAGCTCATGAAAGAGAAACTATACAGGGAAATTCAAATAAATCCTGGTTGACCTCCTCTAAAAGCGATCTGAAACTTGACAGCCTTGGATTGTCATCTTTGTGTTTTGCCTTGAATCGCAAGGAATGGTGACCTCCAGTGGCAAGCTTTCCTTCAGGAGGTTCAAGAGGCCCACAGATGCTTGTCGATTCATTGAAGTTTGCTCTTGTTGGAGTTCCTTGGCTGTTGATATTCAATGAGTTTCATAGGTTCTTCTTCGCATCAACAGTCAATCCGCATTTCCATCCTAATTCATGTTGTTTTCTCAAACATTTGTTTCACTCGTGACACTCGTGACAGATCGTATACTGCAATGAGTAAATGGCTCATCCGACTTCGTGCAGGGTCTGGGAAACCAACAACAAACAACCACCGCAGGAGCTGGAAGAGAGCTACTGCGATTTCTTGGAGTCGGGCGGCCAACAGACAGTCCGAATCACCACCAATGGTTTCTTGGCGTCACCTTCCGACACCTTGAGACATCCGGGGTCGATTCACTAACCTGCAGTTTGTTGGGAAAGTTGATGATCAAGCCCAGGGCTTGTGTGTTGGAGAATATATTTGATGCCTGCTCTCTGTTTTTATGCCTTCAGCTAAAACGAATGAGTCACAACACTTGGGGATGGGCAACACTTGCTTCGTATTGTGTGCCCTATTCCGTTTTTATTGTTGCAAGTGATTTGGCAACTTGAAGGGAACACTCAATTCCTTGATACTGTCCCTTCTTTATTTGATCACTGTGGCCATGTGAGGTATGGCTTACGACGTGAATTTCGACTCCATGACACAGCAGAACGTGAAGACTTCAAAGGTACGTTCAATCCGACGAGTGCTAAAGCCAAATGAAGCTGTGTTTCCGAAGCTTGGGCCAACAATGTTCTGAATTGGCTATGACTGATGCAATTCATGACACGCATAGTCAGTACATTATTTATCAAAGGAAGTTGGGAAGCAATACTTCCGAGTTACGAATGACTTTTACTTGATGGAATTGACTCTGATGAAGGGTGGTGCACGAGTGAGACTTAACCTTGATGAAGGGTGGTATGAGACTTTACACTACATAACAATACATCAGAACCGTAGATTATATATGATATATTCATGTACGTATTTAGTATGTATGGACGCACATGAACATATTTACACTGAAGTTTGTGATTCACGATGTTTGGCAACATTGCTTTTGCATGAATGATGGTCGAAACACTCATGTTCCAATAAGGTACCCCAACTTCCCAAATGCATGAAGGACTCCGACTTCAGTAAAGTTTGCCAACCTTTTGGGGAGGCATTTGTTTTACCAAGCTGAATCTATAGTGTGCTTGTTCCATTCTCCTTTGACTCTGTAGTTTTTGGATTGGGCTAAGAATGCTTGTTTCTTTTTCTGATTTCTTTTCTGAGAATTGAGAATGTTCAAAAAATATTCAGGTCCTAAAGCTGCATTTTCTTTCCTCCATCTTGTTGTATAAATGCCTCCCAAACAAACACCGAAAGGGGGTAGTCCAGAAACACGTCGACGCTTGAATAAAAAGCGTTGTTTGAAGCCCCTTATAACAAAGTTCCTGAATTTGGAGGACCAACCTAAATTTCCGTTTGGGCCTCACAAAACTATCCATGAATACATTTCTCAATTACCTGAAAAGCTTTGCCTGACTACATTGGGGATCATTGGGGATCTGAGAGGGGAAACACTGGCACTACAATGTTTCGGAGGGGGGAGTATTAATGAAACGTCACCATTCTCAGGACATGAACCGTGCGTTCCGTGGAAATTCCCTTGCCGAGTGAAACCATATTCATGATTCACCTTACCCTAGCAGCGTGCTCGCTCGCACAGTAGAATCCCATCTACGGATGGTCCTGAGCGTGCTATTCCCATTCAATAAATGACCTTTTTTGAAATGACCGTTCAGTCTATGCACCGAAACCATCCGAACCCCCCCAAGCAAACGCCGTGGTACTCGTAGCATGTCCTGATGATTTGGCAAGTGATTTGCAATGTCTTCTATCAGGCCCGATCGATTTTCCTTAGTAAAAGTCCCAGGCAAAACTGCGGTTCCTAAGCATGACCAGAAAGTTGTAGCAAACTATCGGCAGCCCAACATCCAAGAAAGGTAATGCAACCTCCAGCCTCAAGGTTGCCAGGTTGCCCACAGCACGAAGGGGTTACAAAATTTACAAGTGTTGCTTTCAACAGCCAGTAGAAGCTGGTTATTGACTACTCGCTGGTTGTTTGTGCACAATGAACAAGAGGTGCTTTTTAGGCTTTCCAGGGGACTTTGACTCAGGATCTTGCAAGAAAAAGAGCTTCTTCTGAGTGAATATTCAGAGAGGAATGCATCGCTGACGAAAGAGGCAGTGCCAAGCTGGGGCATACACGATACATGCAGGTTTGCTGTTTCAACGATTGCCTGAAGATATTGTAAAACATTGGAATTAATCAATTTGCGAAGTTGCCATTGCCTTAACATTTGGTCGCCATGCATGGTTGTTCAAGGATTGATCCTTGAGATTCTTGAAACTACTACTATGAGTACCAAGTCAATCGCTGATTTGGCACTTGATACTGGGAAGTTTGGACAAGTATTTCATGCAGGGTCCTTGGGAAAGTAGTAGCGATATGCTCCAAAGCATGTTGGCAAGTTCTGTTGGAAGGTGGTGTGGCTTGGAAGTTTTTGTTCCTTCAACAGGAAGGCATTTTGTGGCCCAAGGTTCCTTGGTCTCGCAACCATCTGGCAGGTCATCGAATTAAAGGAAGAAGTGGAAAGGCCCACTGTGTTCAGCAATTGTAGGGTGTAGAGCAGCTAAAGATGTGTTACGCTGCTGACTTCGCTCGAGAACAGGAAGTTATATTCATAATTTAGGTTTGAAATGCAAATCCTACTGTAGACCATGTGGAGGGACGCTCAAGTCAAGAGCCGATTCAGTAGGTGGCGTGTTCCTTTTGTATTCGCTAGGAATGGATCGCGGGCGTATCCGCATCACTAGCCGTTCATCTAATCCTGATACTGACAACACTTATGGTTTGAACATCGACATGACTATTGCATGTGCTAAGCATTTCCAGTTTCTTTACAAGTGTTGAATTGTGATTCCACTGGAACGCGGTTAAGAATTTTTGGTCATTCGAGCATTTTTAGATTCGGTCTGAGTCTTGTTGAAGATGAACGCCAAGATATGACTTGACTATTTGAGACTGTGATTTCTCTAGGAAACCATTTTCTAGATGGAGGAAGCTAGATCATAGCCATCATAGCCATCAAGCTTTTGAATCTCTGGTGGAGTCAAGATGATGATCCGGATGCAAAGGATCATTCATTGCGTGTCTCTGGGGTAAACGCTGCATGAATTTGTCCATGACGGAGAGAAACATCAGCATCCAGCCAGTTTGATGGCTTCATCTTGATCCAGTTTGTAGATGGGACTGCAGGAAGTACGTCTGCCTAGTTCGCGCTCGTCGCAATCCCTGAGACAGGCTGAAAACTTTAGCCAACGCCGCGAAGAACGAACATGTGACCAAGATGAGTGTCATGGACTGCCGACCACTGGGGCGCTTGTTTGCTTGGCTAATTGTTTACTTGATGAACTGTGAACAAGACAAAAGCTTTTTGGAGGTCCCTACATGTCACTACTATAGGTAACTCATCAGGGTTCTGACTTCTCGAAAGGGCTCAAGCAGATGGTTTGATTACGAAGAGAGATTGACCACAGTCCTTTTTAGAAGCTCGTTTCATTATCTGAATCATTATCTTACCTGTACCATCATGTAAGGGGTGAATGCAACATAACATATTGTATAAAATGTTTTTAAACAATGAGTTTGGGTTTGGGATGAAGTTACTTGATTCATACCATGGGTAGGCTGTCCAGAGAGTGAGCCAAGCCAATGATTGCAAGTCAATGGTACTGGACATGAATCCGTACTGTGCGAAGTAGCAGCCATGAATTCATGAGGATTGTTCTAATGGCTAGGCGTGTGCTATTCTGTGAGGGTAGCCAATACTATAGGAATTTTGACACTAGAAGCTAAGCCAAAGTGTGAGTTCACGGCAACCGGGTAAGTCCCGCATGGCACCGCAGGAATCCTGGCGCATGGAAAAGCAGCAGTCCCTTAGCATCCGGCAGCCAATTCCAAGTGGAGATCCTGCGCCTTGGCCATTGGGCCATTGGGCCATTGGGCCATTGGGCCATTGGGCCATTGGCACTTTGAACCCGGACACCTTGTTACATAGAAAACAGGTGAAAACAGTACCATAGTGATTTAGTGCAGGAAAACCAACTCTTGGGAGGTTCCAGAAGATGACGCCAGAGGTTTCCAGAATTTTCCCTGTGCATCTCCAGGTGCATTCCCAAATTCAGAATCTCTTGCGTCAAGCGTGTCCCCAGAGTCGCTCGTCATGATTTAGTTGTTCCCAGGCTTCCTTGCAATTCAGATGCTGTTAAAACTCTTGAGGAACAACTTTGGGCACTGAAGGTGTCTTTGACTTTGGCTTGCATGGTCAGGATGGAGACTAAGCTTTTGGATATTCTGGTCAGTTGATGCAGGGAGAAAGGTCATTGAAACTGCACAGTTTTGACTTGCACACGGGTGTGCGCCGCCGGTGGCCCTCGTGCCAGATTGAGCCATGATATGAGATAAGAGTGAGGAAATATGAAACCTGCCAAAATCTTGATCCGCTTACAGCTATCGAAGTCGAATACGAATTTCTTTAACCCTCTTGTACATCACTCATTTTGCTCTTCAATAAACAACAGGCAGTGCAAGTGACCGGTGCAGAGGTCACTATGCTGGCTGCCTGGCAGCCCGTCAATTGGAGGTCCTGTCTGTAGAACAGGTCCACAATGTGACTCAGCACGCGGAGTGGAACTCGCAATGCACTGAAGCTGCCCACTTTGGATCTGGCATTCCACTCTAGCCGTGTAGCGAGAGCTTCCAAGTCCTCCCGAGGTGAAGTTATGGAAGCAATACGCCTTTCGGAAGGCAAAGCGGAACGGGTGTTGAGAAGCAGCCCGAAGATAATGCAGATAATATGTTTAAAATGTTGGGGCTCAAGAAACGTAGTCTCACTGAGATGGAGATGGCAACATCTGCTTGCCATTTGTGAGGGCAATCGCTATGATTTCCAATATCCAGCATGGCTTGTATTTTCACATCAACTCAGGCGTCCTGAAAAGGGGTCGATTTTGGGCACGCGATGGTGGGAAAATCACCCCTGGGCCAAGAGCCCACCCCTACAATGAGTTCATTTACCCTCTGGTTATTTAACATGGAAAATCACCATTTTTAATAGGTAAACCATCTATAAATGGGTCATTTCCCATGGCTATGTTAAATAACCAGAGGGTAACATGAAAATCATGAAAAGCAGAATTGTTTTGTTTATCGACTATTATACTTTTTTTGTGTATTTTTGTGTTTTTTCTCTGTCCATTTTGACAGGAAGAGATCAAAAAAGAAAGCGAGACCGCTGGCATTGGGACTGTTGTGGAGAGTGAGTTGCCTCCACTCGATTGGATTCAGCTCGACAAAAGTGTCAACGAGTCACTTGGATTCACTCAGGGGTTAATTCGGGATCTGTGTAGGAACCTGCTCAATGAGTCGCTAAAAGGTTTACCTCAGGATTTGATTATGGATTTTCTTTGGGATTCACTCGGCGGTTTGCTTAGGCATTCAGCCAGGGACTTACTTGAGTCCTTCAAGATTCACTTTTGGATTTACGCAAGAGGATTCACGAAGCTGGCTTCTTAAGTCTCCACTCGAGGATCGTCTTCAGGATTCAGATGGCGATTTGTTCAAGGATTCATTGCGGGCTTTTATTGGTTCACCTACTCATTTCAGGGTTTACTTGATTGATAGATGTTGATAGCATAGCCGCGGCCTTCATGCGCAAGACTTTGACCCTTTGAAGCCTTGTTTGCTGTTTCTCATTACAAAGGATTCGCCGAGCGGCTATCCCTAGCTTTGCAGGAGATTGGGTTTGAAGATCTTAAAACCGGCGACCATGATCTGACATGAGTCATGAGTTTCAAGCGAACCATGTTCATTTTCACAAGATACCTGGCTGGATGTTGAAGTACAGAACAGGCGAGTAAGCTGGTTGGGGATCCTGATGTTCCTTTGACTGCCATTTTCTGCCAAATATCTACACAGCACATCACAGCACAGCATCGCTACTTTTCGGTTGAGTCCCGAGGGTCGTCTTGCTACACGGGACCCATTCCGACAAGATCGACATGATCACCCAGTACGGCTTCGATCAGCGAATGGCGCGAGAGGGCGGCCTGTACGGCCAGGGGGTCTACTTCACGGACCAGTCTTGCAAGAGTGCCTATGGCTATCTGTGGTTCAAACTGGGTGAATCCGGCAGCGGTTGGTTGCTGACTTAGTGTGGTATTGAGAATTAACACCGTCCACGGGAGAAGTTGGATCGTGAGAGAGGGAATCCCGCAAATGCGGATTGCCTTTGCAAATGTTTTAGCTCAATCTCTGCGAGCTGGTTAATGCCAACACCGGATTAATAACCCCCCCCCCCAGAAGGTAGGGGGGGTACCTTCTGGCTAGTTTTCTTGACCACCCCTTAATAATAAGCAACTCTGAACCATAAAACTTTGGATATGGCTTACGTCAATTAGATCTTAATAGAATTCCATTGGATTTGTTAAAATCTCATGGATCAGAAAGGTGGTTGATTAATCAGGGGCAAACCGTGGTTATTATTAATGGGGGACATGGGCTCATGGGGGGTACCCTTTGGGAGCTATCCAAACTGATGATTTTTATAAAGATTTTAATTAGAAATCGATCATTTGGTGAATAGTTGTTTTTTTGAATTTTTCAATGATCAACTTAAACCTTAAGTATAACAATGATGATAAAAAAAGGTAAAAAACAATTGGGAATAAATAGAATTGGAAATAAAAATTGCTGGATTAAAAGAATGAATTTCAGCACTGGTGGTTGATTAATCGGGGGTAGGCCAAACGGTTTATTAATCAGAGGGGACCACCTGTTTTTAAATTACGATCTTTTTTGGGGGCAGTGGTGGTTGATTAATCTGGGGGGGTTTATTAATCCTCACTTGGCATTGGCATTAATTATTTCTGATTTTTCCTGCTGCTGAACCAGGATTCTGGTGACAGAGACCTGGGTTGTTTGGTATTTCCCAAGAGCTGGGCGAAGGGTTCTTCCAACGAAGCGTTTGCAATGAAGCTTCCTCATAATTACATATTTCTCACACCGAGACTTCACACCTACACATCTCAAATCCACACGTGTTCGATCTGCACTGTCTGTCTCTATCTCTCCCTCTCTCTCTCTCTCCCTTTCTCTCTCTCTCTCTTTCTCTGTCTCTTTTTCTCTCTGTGTGCGTTTTCCTCGTTCTCTCCTTTTCTTTACTCTCTCAGCTTCTACACCATGCGTATTTTACATCATTTTGCAGGCACAATCTTGTACATGTCTGTCTAACGCTACATGACCCTCTTCCATCTAATGATTTCTTTTTCGGGCCACCTCTCGCCATGTTAGGGTCCTGCTCTTTACTTGTTGAATTTCAAAGAGGCAGATAGAAGATGATAGAAGCAAGTATCCAGAAATATCCAGAAGTCTTGGTGGCGTCTGTTCCATCGCAGATCCCAAGCTGACATCATTGTGGTCAAATCCAAGTGCTATGAGATCTATGAGGTATGCAGTACTCCGGAGCACCCGATGGCACCTTGGGGTACTTCATCCTGAGCAACTTGGCAAAACGTCAATTTCGATCACTGGGAGCTGTGAAATCTGCTCCAGGCGGCCCAAGTGTATCGCTTGTTGAACCGAGGCAGGGTGGTCCTCGGACATCCTCACATTGCCACTGGGGCAATGAAGCGACTTGCCGAGAACGGTAAGTCTTTTCGCCGGTTTCCTGCGAGACATCCTTCAATGAACATGATCATACAGGAGTTCTTTGGAATTGATCCACGGTATGGGTCAAAATATTGGACGGATTCTGGTAACGCACTTGGGGGGCTCAGATTGGCTTACCACATATCTTGTTCAAAGTCTACATTTAGAAGGGAATGAACAAACTATGAAGAATTAATTCTAAAAGAACCTTTGATCAGGAATTTTCCGGCTGCTTGGACGCTGCATTTGGGTCAAACGTTCACGTTAAAGTGACCCATCATTCGTTGAATATTGTCGGGCTAAGTGCACCTGTGTCCATGGGCCATTTGAATTTGGCCCAGCCCCATCAAAATGTGTTTGAACAGCACTTCGAACCCATCACTTCTACAAAGAGCCTAGACTAACCCACTGACATGCTAGTGATGCATGGCGGGTTTTGCGAAGCTGTAAGATTGCTTGTTTTTATGGGGATTGCTTGCGCCCTACTTGTCAGTGTTCATGGGACCCATGGCCAAGGAACGTAAAGGTGGAGCCATTCCGCGACGACAGGGATCCAAGCAAAGGCGCGGCGCGGTGGTTTGACATGCAGGGATTGTGGTTGTCGCTTAAGAGTTGCTGGGCCATGATGTGTCATTTCATCAATTTCATCCTTGCCTCAGAGGCCTCCCGGCTTCTTAAAATCAAAACCAACCATTCAGATGCATTCAGATGCAGCCGTGTCAGCAGTGTGAGGCAGATCAAACAGTGTCGTGGTCAACCCGGGCACTGACAATGGAGGCAGTTCACTGCAGGGAGTTGATGGCCGAAATGGTGTCAAAAATCAGCAAGACACGAATGAGAATATCATGAGAATATCTAGAGATATCTGGAGATCTTTGCATGGCTCACAGGCTCACAGAGCTCAAAGTCAGAGGGGATTCGGCTGAGAGACATAGGTCAGAAATGCTCAGAAGAACTCAGACATAGCTCAGCTGATTGAGTCATTTGAGAATTCATTTGAAGCCATTCAGTTTTTCAATCATGCTGCCTTCAAGTGGCTCGCTCGGCCACTCAATCATTCAGGCAATCAGCCATTCAGTCCTTCGATCACATTCGTGTTAGTCAACCACAACCTTCTTAGTCAACCCTTCTTTACATAAGGATGTCACAGGATGTCTATTTCCTGTAGCCACTTTCAATTTCTGAATCTTACACCCTGGCCGGGCACTGAGAGAACGGATATCGAAGGGGCAGAACAATTGTCACTTGGAAAGGTAAACTTCAGATGTGTGATTTCCACATCGAAGTCCTTTAAGGACATTTGGTTCAGTTCAGTCTTAGACCTGCCCCTCCCTGTGGTCAGCGTCGGGTTCGGTCCCATTGCTGGTAGGCGCTTACAGGGCACAAGCAACTTGGCAGAAACACCGAAGCTTTCAAGACCTCTACACTCTACACACAGTTTTGGAGACGACCTCACAATCACATTGGTTCCCTTTTAAGACAGAGAAAATGGCGAGCTTGGAAAGTTTCACCCTCGGCTGAAACCTCTGGCTTCCATGCGTTGCCAAGGTTCATCGCGAGTTTGTGCTGTTCAGCAGCCACCAAGCCTATCCTGAGCTCGTCGTGTGCTTTAAGCTACAGGCTTGACGTAAGCTTGACGTCAGCAACCCCTGTATGCACAAGTCTTGGGGTCGGTCAATGAAGGTCCCATCCTTCCCTGAATGGCACCAGTTTTTATTGATGTTGACACCATGCAACACCAATGCTTTATCATGCTTTATCAGAAGGCAGTAGTTTTCCTGACACAGGGCTAAAGGCTCACTTTAACTTCAATCGCTTGCCAATAAATGTGCGATAATTCAGACACTGTCCGGACATTTTGGTCACTGGGCCATGGTTTGACCTTGCCGATCCCACTGGAATGCTCCCTGTGCACGAGACTGGTCATAATCCACCTCTGTGCACATTGGGGAGGCAGCAAGCACCCAGTTGCTTATGCAATGGCCGGAAATCCTGTTGTCCAATGGGTCCAACCCACCAGGTGCGTCATGTTCAGATTAATCATTCAGATTGTAGCTTCGAATTGACAGTGCTTAAGGTTTACTAGGTGTTTTCTGTTTCTGCGACCAGCGACTTGCAAAAGGTGAAGTTGAGGAAAATATGCTGGAAAACGCAGGCCAGCATTGGTCAGAAGTTGAGAGTTCCATGTTGGTTTTGTATTCCTTTAAGTGGTGGAATGATTCAATATAAATGAGATGATTGTTCAATAGTTACTATAGTTGTAAGTCCAATCACTTGGTTCTTTGGCGGATTCCGGATTACATGATTTCTTTGGCGCGGGATTAAAACGGAACCTAGAGCTCTTGTACGATAAGTCACCACAGGGCAGTTTGCAGACCATGTTCTTACCCAACTGCGACAACGAGTTTTGGAATGTTTGGTAGAATGCGTCCCAACCCCGTGGCATGTTCAAAAAAGTACACCCAGAGATTTGCAGAGCTCAGTTGGACAAAGGGAAAATTCCAGGCGTCGATTTTCAAGGCCATATATCCAGCGTTGAGTTTTTAATCCCTCCGGGAGAAACCTCAATGCTCACCGGATTCGCTGGGATCCAAGGCGGATCCAGCAATAGAGAGGATCCCAGAGCACACCATTGACTTCAAAGAAGATGATTCGACTCAGAAAACATCGAGATGTGAACCTGTGGGAACATGATTTACATGAGTGGAAACACTGGTGACGACTTGACGCCATGAGAACCATTCGGGCCAGCAGAGGAACCTGGACCAATCCTAAAATTCGAAGTCAAAGGTCAAAAAATGTCAAAAAGAATTGTGTTTGCTCTGGCAGTGTGCTTATAGCAGCAATTTGTTGGCTGCTTTGTATATAGTTGGCAGACTTGGATGGTCAGGTGTTGGAGATCATGATTTACATCTAGCGCCCACAGGATCAGTCAACACAGCACAACTTCAGATGCATTGCTGGGCCCTTTGAATCATTCAGGGACGGTTTTTTGCATTGGTGTTTTCGTACGACCGTGCAAGGGATATCCCGGAATCGCTTTACATAAAGCTTTCTTCGAAACCTGAAAATTGCGTTGGAAAAGAACGGCAGTTCACACGTGAGGGCATGATTGGCTCGGCTGGGAAGGATGGCCCATGTTTGCTGCAGGTTCGGTTGGTTTCATTGGTGTTTCGTTCACGTTTCTTTTGCTGACTTGGGCCAACCATCCAATCCTCAGCACCAGGTGCCATCGCCGCAAGGCTGGGGGCACTTTCTAAGATGCAGTTCATTCACTTATTGCATTCATTTAACCTCAAACATTTTGCAGGATCGTGCAGCATTCAGCAGCATCCTGTTTGCCTCTGTTTTTGGCCTTCCATCAAATGGGTCTATTAGACAGTATATATACTGCCATTTGAGCCAATGCTCTCTTTTGTCAACGCAGACACAAAGCTTGGGGCAGAGGATGTTGGGCTGACTGTTGCATTTGCTTGGCGTCCCAACCATCAAAAATTGACGAACATGACACGTTTTTTGAGGAGAAGTGATCGAGCAGTGGGACAACTTCGCACGGGGCCAAGCCTAAAAAGGGTAAGGCACAACCAGAACAGCATCAAAACCCCACCAGGTTTTCAGCCGCGATCAAAACCCACTTTCAAACAGCCAAAATCTTCGAATTTCGTTGCTCCAAGGAGTGGCTCATGAACCTCACCCAGTGCTTGAAGATCAATAGTCGCACCACGCGCTTTCGCAAGAGACACGTGGTGCCCTTTTGGAACGACATTGGAACGGTTCAGACATCGTTCATGTGGGCGTTCACCAGATTTTGCAGAGGACAATCACAAGAAAAGAAAGATTTTACCCATGATTTTGCCCGAGAACAAACCTCAAGTGTCTCAACTGTATCCACAAGATTGGAGAAAAGCCGGGGGGGGTTGCCATGACTTTCTGAAATTCTTTTCAACGATTCTGACGAACCAGGGTTGAACCCTACGACCCGAGACTTTTCTGAAACGATCTGGTGAAAATTCTGACCGTTTCGGTGAATAAGAACGCAACAATTGGCAAGTGTTCCAATCTGACCCAGCCATTTCTGAAAAATTGAGATTTTAGGCTTCTTCCAGCAAATGGATCTTATTATAAAATAGGTTCACTTTTCTTCCATTTTTCGGAGTTCCACACTGTCTCCGCTAGCGCCAGGTGCGAATCACCCGTGCAGCCAATCCATCAGACATTTTGTGGGAAAACCTCTCAGTGCGAGGGCCAAGTCGAGGAAGAGTTCAACAGAAACACAACAAAAGTGATGTTTTTGAGATAACTTAGATGATTTATGATGATTTCAAATTTCAACATTTTTGGGGCAAATCAGATTTTCTGCGATCTCAGAAATGACTATTTAAGCGAAGCTTTTTTGCATCACGCTTTTCATTCTGCAGAGGCCCTTGGCATCGAAAGGGTCACCGTTTTTGAACCACCAGATGGGGCAAATAGCCACAGTTTGAGAACATCTTACAACTTGCTGTAGAACTATGTGTCTGCCGGATGGCTCAGCATTTGAAAGCTGCTGATGACAACACCATCACGGAAATCTGCCAGATCTGACAACAGTTGATGGCTCCAAAAGTTGACGCAATTGCAATCTGTGATCAAATCCAAGGCAGTTAAAATTACTTTACTTCGTGTGATCCCCACCATGACATTTATACATGTTCTTACTGGCACATCTTCTGGCATTCTATCTGACATATCTTCTGACATTCTATTTGGCATTCTATCTGGCATATCTTCTGGCATTCTATCTGGCAAATCTTCTGGCCTTCTATCTGGCATATCTTCTGGCATTCTATCTGGCAAATCTTCTGGCCTTCTATCTGGCATATCTTCTGGCATTCTATCTGACATATCTTATGGCATTCTATCTGGCATTCTATCTGGCATATCTTCTGGCATATATTCTGACATATCTTCTGGCATTCTATCTGGCATTCTATCTGGCATTCTATCTGGCAAATCTTCTGGAATATCTTCTGGCATATCTATCTGGCATATCTTCTGGCATATTTTCTGACATTCTACCTGGCAAATCTTCTGGCACTCTATCTGACATTTTATCTTCCTACATGAGGTCCGGCAGGGAACACTTGGCGTGGATACTCGCGGTTGAGGTCCGGCAGGGAACACTGGGCGCGGATGGTCGTGGTTGAGGTCCGGCAGGGAACACTGGGCGTGGATGGTCGTGGTTGAGGTCCGGCAGGGAACACTGGGCGTGGTTGGTCGTGGTTGAGGTCCGGCAGGGAACACTGGGCGTGGGTGGTCGTGGTTGAGGTCCGGCAGAGAACACTGTGGATCGCGGGTCGCAGTTGAGCAAGGACGACGAGGACGACGAGGACGACGAGGAGGACGAGGAGGAGGAGGAGAGGAGGACGAGGCAGGAGGAGGAGGAGGAGAAGGAGGAGGAGGAGAAGGAGGAGAAGGAGGAGGACGAGGAGGCAACTGACATAAAATCTAACAACCCTCACCTGGCAGGTGGGGAAAAAAACTTTAAAAGCTTCGTCAAACAGAAAAAAACACATCTCACACCCTCCACGCTCGCCATGCCCAGGGATGAGATCATCCAGAAAATCCGAGTACTCGAGGACCCCGAAGCTGACGACAAGGAGAAGGAGACGGCCGCGCACGCCTTGGCCAACGAGGCCCGGAAAGGAGAAGCCTGTCAGTCCGTCATCGTGGAAGAGGGTGGTTTGATGCCTTTGGTGGCCCTGTTGGAGGGTGGCCCCAAATCCAAGACAAAGGCGGCCTTTGCGTTGCGCTACTTGGCCGAGGGCAATGACAAAGTGGGGATGGCCATTGTAGCCTGTGGTGGTCGGGAAGCATTGGAGGCCTTAGCCAACTGTCAGGATGATCAGGGTGGTAAGGATCATGCTCTGGAAGCTTTGAAGTTGTTGCCTGCAGACTTTCCGGAACCACCAAAGACGGACTTGGACCAGATCCGAAAGCACGTCCAAGTGCTTGAAAGCAGAACAAATACCCGAAACAAGGGGAAGGCTGCGATGGCTTTGGGAGACTTGGCACAGCATGGTGCTCCAACCCAGCAGGCTATTGAGGCTGCTGGTGCCCTTGAGCCTCTGATAGATCTTCTAGGAGGTTATCACGATTATATGACGAAGCTGAATGCAGCCTTTGCTTTGCGCTGGTTGGCATTCAACAACCTCCGGGTGGCTACGGCCATGGTCGTGTGTGGTGCCCGGGAACCGCTGGAGAAGTTAGAAAATGCAGCCGAATGGGCTGATGACAACGTGAGGGAGGGGAGGGTCCAGGCTTCTGGAGCTTTGAAGTTATTGCCTGCAGGTTGTCCGGAGGAGGACTTGTACCAGATCCGCAAGAAGGTCCAAGTGCTGAGGGACCTCGACTCCAGCGAAAAGCAGAAGGCGGCCGCTGCCATGGCTTTGGGAGAGTTGGCGCTGCATGGTGCCCCGACCCAGCTGGCCATTGAGGCCGCCAAAGGTGTCCCTTTGTTGGTGGCCATGCTGGGCGAGAGCCTGATGGAAAATCACGCTGCTTATGCTCTGCACATGTTGGCCATGAACCCCCGGGTAGCCAAGGCCATAGTGGCCTGCGGTGCCCGACAACCGCTAGAGGAGATGCGCGGTGAAGGAAACGCCATGGACACCTTGAAGTTGTTGCCTGACGATCCAAAGGCAGAGCCAAAGGCTGAGCAAAAGACATCTGGTGAGATGAACCTTAAGCAACTGAAGTCTGAAGTGAAGGCCTTGGAGACTGGCAGCAAAGCAGTTCAATGTAGAGCTGCAGAACAGCTTGGAACTTGGGCAGCCATTTCAGATGAGAACAGAGGTGCCATTAACCGAGCTGGTGGATGTGAAGCGCTGGTGGCTTTGGTGGTCAATGGCAGCGATGATGCCAAATGGCACGCTGCCAGGGCCCTCCGAAATCTGGCCAACCATGCTGAGGCCAAAAAGAATATCTTGAAAGCGGATGGCATTGCAATACTGACCCCCATTGCGAAGCATGGGAAGGGGAAGGTAAAGGAAGCAGCCGGTGAAGCTTTGAACTTGCTCTCTTCGGTTGATGCCAAAGCCAAGGCAGCAGCGGAACCAGCCGCAACTCCGATCCCAATTGGTGCAAGAACAAGAGTGGCGATGTTCTCGGCCAGGTTTGATGGAGGACCCATTGAAAAGACCCTTGGGTTTTTTGGGTTTCATTTTGGTTTTCAACTGTTCTCTCTCTCTATTTTTTTGACAAAAAAAGGTAGGGTCCCTGAGTAACTCCGAAATACTCCGAACATGTCTGAGGAAATTCCGCCAAGTCTTTAGTATACTTCGGGACCACCAATATGACGTCTTGATGGTCGCTGCTGATGCTGGAGAGAGTTTTGGTGATTTGACCACCCAATATCTTGGGCGACTGAAGAGAGAGGAGGGCACCATGTTAGCAGTTTGCACCAAGAACTACGGTGAGATGACCGAGTCAGCCTACTCGGCACATAAGGAGCTGAAATTTGCATTGGACTATGAGAAGTTTGTGAAAGTCCTACCACTGAAAGTCGAAGAGACATACCCACCAGAGCCAGCAGGTGGTCCACAGCACAAGTATGACAAGGATTTTTTAGCTCAAAGCTACATCCTCAGTGTTTTCAAGCCGTGCGTGGTGTACCTTGATTGTCAAGGCAAATCCGAGAGAGAAATTGCGGCTGAGATTGCCAACTACTTGCAAAAGTATCCAGCGGACACATAGCGGGCCCCAAAGTAGCAACTTAACTTGACGGTTGACTCAGATCGAAAATGGGGCCACTCTTTTTGTCCGATGTTCATTTCAATGTGTCTCACCTGAAGTCCAATGTGGATTTCAAATATAAAATAGATCACACTGATCAAAAATGATCAACATCGCAAGCCAATGTCGGAAAGAGAAAACAAAAAATGACCAACCAGCATTGGGCTTTCAGCTGACGCATTTTTCATACCAGGCTATACCAAGCTGTTGGTAACTGAGGCCTCTCACCAGACACGCTTCTGGTTGCGAGGGAAGACTTATGCCTTCGTAGCGCTGTTGCATGGCAGAGATGGGGAACTATGACATGCTTCCAGGGGAAGAAGGTAAACAAATTTGTTCAGGAAACATCACCAGAACTATGGGTCCTGGTATCTTGGTCCCACCAAAAACTATAGGATTCAACACTGCTAAGATTTTCGATCCGCCTTTACTATCAAACAAACATTGCAGGCTGTGAAATGTGTGAAGATCCGTAGTTTGTATAGCCATGTCGGGAGTGTTTTTTTCAGACTTTGGCTGGATGTCTCCTGATATCTCCTGATCGTCATGTCCATCAACTGGATCTTCGATCACTTCAGCAACAAGGATGTCGACCAACTCATTGAGCCAGAAATCTTTCTCTAAAGACAGGATTTCTAGACTTGGGATATAAAAAAACCATCTAAAATCAATAAACAATTGACCATACAGTATACAGTCATCCATACTATATAAACAAAACCATTTAAACATATTTAAACTGGTCCCAAAATAAGATGATGTTCCAAGGCGGTTAGCCGCGCGGCTGGGCGACGCCTGGAAGTTTGTCGGTGGCCTTTGTGGTGATGATCCGCATCCGAGCATCGTTGTTATGGCCATGGTGTGAATGGGGTATGTATAGCCTATAGATTTTAGAAACATCAGAAATGAAACATAGTTTTTTTAACATGGTGGATACATCATTGGTACTGTAAATATACAATAACAAATATATGAGGAATTTCTGATTTTTTTCGACTCCCCTTTTTGCGAGGAGACAAGTGATGCAGCAAAAACACATGAGCCTGGGACGTCCTTTGAGATATGAAGCATCCAAGTGACCAACTCTTTTCATCTCAGGTTGACCATGTTGATGTTAAACTGGTGGTGGCTCAGGACCAAGACGGGTCAAGATGTCTCCCTCTTGGCCAAACTCTCCTTGTTCTACTTGGGCCTTGGCATAGCAAGGCCCAAACAGGTGGTGCCTTGGTTCCTTTGGAGTTTCAACATGGTGTTTAACCCAACACAACCCAACTTAGTCAATCATGAGTGGGAAAATCCCATTGTTGTTGGGGTTTCAAGAGTTTTCTATTTCAATAGCAGAATTGCTTCGGACGATGCCAAACCATTTTCCACAGGCCATGGATACATGATGCTGCTTGAAGGTTCTTTCCTCTGGCATTATTTGACTTTATCTTAATCCATTTTTGTGTTTGATGGGTTGCGCACCAAACAACAAGAGGGCGACACCTTCCTCGTGCTTTTGAGGGGTGTCTTTCCAGGACCTGCTACTGTGTCATTGCCATGTTGGTCAATTGGGAGCCCCGCTTCTGGTACAAGTTTCGCTGATTTCAACTGCCAAAGTTCATGGCGCTGAGGTTCCTGGTTGCATCACCATTCCACTTTACATCCTCTTCAGTTGCAAGTTGCTGGTCAGGACTCGTTGGGACAAGTAACTGGGACCAGCTGAACCCCAGCTCCAGAGTTTTTTCCTGAGGCTTCACCAAAACCAGTCACCAACATTTTTTCTTTCATAATCTTTCAATATTTTGACTGGTCTTTTTCGAAGCCCAAAATTTGATGTTCCTCTAGGTCTTTTGGGTCCGACAAAACTCGTGAAATTCCTGGCTTCACGAAGTCGTTTTTCACCCCATCATTTTCCTCCAGGAACTTCATGCGAGACCAACGTTTGGATCTGCAAAAGCCACCCGTCTGACCCAGAACCAGCTGCTTGGGCGGAATTTTGGGGAGAACCTTGGAACTTGGTTTAAACTCCAAATCTGGTTTTGAACACCTATAGGTGGGTGAAACTTCATTTTGTTTGAAACATCCTTTTTTTTCTCCTTCAGGTCATTCCTTGTTTTGGTTAAAACCCAATATGACATGTTGCACCATGTTGCTGTTGAGTAAATGACGGATACTTCTCAGATCTATCATGAAAGCAGTGATGCGGCAGTGGGCTTTCCACTCCCGTGTTGGAAGATGGGAAGTGCTCTGAATACTTTTCTGAAAGGGCGTATTATGAGTGTTTTTATAGTTTTTTTTCAACTTTTATGACGATCTAAACGCACGAAGAAAAGACCCGAGTTTTTGAGGTTTCAAAGCTTCTTCGAGCTTCCAGATATGGATCAGCTCCTGAGATGAACTGGCGGTATTACTATGGCTGCGGTAAATGTTGACCCTACAACTTTCCTTTTTCGCAAATCTGCTTGGAAAAGCCAGACTTTGAAGATCCATGAGGATTTTCAGAGGTGGATTGTCACGTTCAGCATAGGACACCCTCACCGTCGAAACGTAGCATATGTTTTTGGCTGCGATACTTTGATGTTCATAGGATGGATAGATGTGGTAAGCATGGAACAAACTCACATCAATCCCAGACATCTCCAAAAGTTGTTTGGATTCGGTTGAAAACACATGTCATTTTGCTCAAAAAACAGCCCCAGAGTGGTTCTTTCAGCATCTTTCAGCCTTCCTGTGACATCAAGTACCAAGGACTCGCCCCGCCAATGCCAAGGTGATTTTGACCTTCGTGATGGGCCACTTGTTTGTCGTTTAAGTTTTTGCACTTCGGGGGATGAACAAATTATGATTATGATGTGATTATGATATGATCATTTGGAAAATCGATCGGTTTATGTGACAGAAATATTGACAATGTATTGGGGTCGCAAGATTCAGATCCTGACCACATTTTCAAGGCACTGTGAGCAACGTTCATGTCATGGGCCAGCTTGCCGCACATTTTACACTGGTCGTGATGTTTCACGATGTTTTGACAACCTTTGACCGGTTTAAACCAACCTCAAAGTTTTCAAAAAAAGTAAGAAAAGATCACGTAACTTGCTTTTTTTTCCAGATGTGGAGCCGGTTTTTGTTCCGGCTTCCCTTTGAGCGATCCATTCTGAACCCAGGATTTGTCTTTATGCCCGTGTGGCCGTATGCTATCCTGATTGCCTGCGCGGCGCTCTTCTTGGAATACTGGGCCTTCAAGGAATGGGTATTTGCGGCTGTGACCCAGATGAAAGACGTATTTTGATTCAATGGCAATTTGAACAAATTTGGATGCGATTTTTTGATGACCTAGATTTAGATGTGGCTTTTGAATGCTTTTGAACCAATGTCGTTTTTTTTGATTTGCATCTATCATGGATCCAGGCGAAAGTCTGGGATTTTTTTGATATGTTTGTTTCCAAACAGAAACTATTTCGACTCTGATCTTTTCAAAAGATTGCCACGAACTCTACTCAAAAGATCTCAAAAGAAAAATTGGGGTCAGGCGCCAAGTTTTTTACCCTAAATCCTTTAAGGATGGTTTTTCCCCTTCCGCTCCACATTTTTCAATTTTTGCTGCAGTACCAGCTCCTACGTCATAGCAAGCGGCCCTACTGGCGTAGATGTCGCCAATGCGGCCCTGAGGACGGGATTTTTTGCAGGGAGATCACATGCGAATTTCCGTGCTATGAATTGTACATCAAAGCAGCATCATTTTGGTTGCCAACACATGGAAGTGTCCACAGCACTTGGGTTGTGGCTTCATTATATAACTGAATCCTTCAAGTTTGGATGCTCAAAGCTGAATCTGAAGCGCATCAAGTTGAGTTTTAGGGACACCTGCAACAACCCCACCCATTTTGAATTTTGTAGGCAGCTTTGTTCGCCATTGATGCCTGGTGCGGTTGCCCCAGCTGTCAGGATTCTCATGGATTCTCTACATTGCCTTGGCGGGTTATGGTCTTGCACAGGTTGGGCACCGGGAGATGCAACTAAGACCAGACTCAGCATGGATTGTTCCAAGATGCAAAGACATCAATATTTTACAGATTTTTACTGATGAAAGTTCCGGAACATCATGCGAAATCCACTTCAATGGATTGGAATATGATTGGAATTAGCAGATAAAAAGCAAAGAAAGTCGTGAATTTGGATGAAATTGGAGCAGCTAAGCCCTTCTGAAAGCCCATGACCGCGCACTGTGATTTTTCACATCCCCAACAGCTTCTTCAACAGGTCTCTTTTTTGCCCTAACACATGGCTCAAACTCCAAAATGGACCAAGATTCTCAAGATGCCATTCTTCAACATCCCACAGTGAACGTCTTGGAAGCTGATGGCCGAACCGGAGCCCGATGAGCTTCGTATCCGCAAGGCCCTGGAGGTCTTGCACCACCAGGGCAGTGTGGATGCCAAGAAACACGCAGCCCACGAGCTGCAGGTGGTCTCCTTTGGCAGCTGGCAGTGCAGAGTAACTCGGTGTTTTTGGAAATTGAAACATTTGGAGACTCAAAAGTTTAAATATTGGGCAGGAGGGAAACATACATAATCAGTTTTTAAACAATCAATTTTTATCATTTTTTGTAGTTTTACACTGTTTTACGATATTTTTGTATTACATACTGTAATCTGTAAAATATCTGATTGGTGGTTTTAAACATTTTGTATTTTCCAAACTTTTTGGGATGATAAACAAAATTTGACGAATATTTTTCAAACGGTTTGAAACCACCAACCAGCTAACCAGCTAGCAATACAGAATGGGGAGAGAATTTCAAGCTCATCTGCTACCTTAGGTGGCCATCGCCAGTGGTGGTGGTATCGAGGCTTTGGCCTCCTTGCTGGGCAGCGAAGCCGCTGTGGAGGCGGCAGAGACCTTGGCCAACTTGGCCAAAGACGAGCAGAACACGGTGGCTCTGCCACCGAAAAAATAGGTTTTTTGGTTCAACAAGATTTTTTAAACAACAAATCCACCAACATTTTTTATTTTGAGAATTGTTTAAACAAAAAAAGGGAAACACAACCACATTTTTTGTTTTGAGATTTGTTTGAAGCAAACCATTTTGGGCCAATAAGCTGGATTGATACAAGATGCCAAGATGGTTCTTGATCTTGGTTTTGGCCACACGTTTCCTTCGTTCAGCAACTTTCACCTTATAAGACCCGTTTCGTTTTGTTTTGAAGCTCCCCAGGTGATGATCTCAGCTTCCAAAGCCATAGCAGGGCTACTTGCCATGGCCCGCAACAGCAATATTGACAGCAAGGAAGCTGCGGCCAGGGCGATGTTCTACTTGTCGTCGCATGCCTCAGGGGTTCAAGCTATTGCAGCAGCAGGACCCGGAGATGGTTTTGTACAGCTGGTGAGTTATGCTTTTTTGCTACCATCTGGTAAACAAACATCCGTCAAGGGGGGTATTCGTACCCTGTTTTTAGGGGAAATCATCATTTTGTCCTGCGAGGCTGCACTGCAATTGCCGTGCATTGGACGTTGAGACTCATGTTTGCGCGTGTCCTGCGAGGGCCAACGAAAATGAACATGAATCGTTGCAAGGAATTATGTATAATTCATCTTTGACGTCGCAAAAAACCTCATGTTTTGATGTTCTTGATTGGTCCTTCACATAAGTGGATTCGGCCGCATCATGTCCTTGTGCAACTGTTTGCCAGTGGCTTTGAGCACAGTATGTGCTTCCAAAATGGGGCGTGGTCCCCTTCGAATTTTCTTGAGACCAAACTTTTTCGCTAACCCTTTGTAACAACGTAGAAAAGTCAATGCGTAGCAAAGCATAGCAGAGCGTTGCAAAGCGTAGCAAAGCGTCTGTATTTCATGCAATGAAGAAAAGTCAATGCATAGCAAAGAACAACAAAGCGTTGCAAAGAGTCCGTATATCATGCAATGAAGAAAAGTCAAATGTAAAACGCCTGTACGAACGGTGACATGCCCCACCCACCCCCCCAAAACCACCCAAAACCACCCCCGTCACACCCCTTCGCAGTTACCATACAAAATAGAAAACGCACACGATGCCTGCACGAGAGCTAAGAAAAAACATCAAAACAAGGTACGGTTTCCCCCCCGCTAGCACAAACATGGATATGGAAAAACAACTATTAATAGACTTATTCACTGATCTCGTTTTAGGGTCTAGATCAGCGGGGTTTAGATCAGCTACCTTTTTCAGCCAAAGTAAGATGTCTCAAAGCAGCCTCAATTGAGACATTTTGAGACTTGTCCAGGGTTGACAACACCAGATCCTGTTTCCGTGAAGAGGATCCGGTACAGCTGTTGTGGTATGCGCAAGTACTTCGATTTTGTTAGATCTAGTTGTCATGGGAGCCAAGTTTCATTTGTCAAATGCAAATTTCAATCTCAAGTTCCTCCGATTCTTGGTCGGCGGTCGGCTGCATGATTGTCTTCAGTGGGATTGGAAACGGTGTGCCTGACATGTTTGGCTTGAAATCAGCATTTCCAAAGCCACAGGTCTCCCCTCCACCGTTCCACGCACATATGGCTCGTCTACAATCTAACCACCCACTCTTTTGATAGACGCTTCCCCCATACTTTCCACACACAATAGTTCCATAAAGGCACAATTCCATAGATCCTATTAAAAATGGTAATTTTCAATATCCATGTAACTGTTTACCACATTTTACCACATTTTACCACATTTTACCACCTGGTAGCAACATCAGATATCTTCGATTCACGCTCCAGGAGGTCATGACACTCTCCTGTGCTTGCAACGAGACGCCGCGGCCAGCGCCAACGCGCGGAACTAGGCCAAGAAAACCAAGGAGCGCCTGCCGGTGGTGGATCCGGTGGATCCGCTGGATCCCAAGGCGTGACCTAAATGGATCATATTGGATCATCTTCTGGATATTTCTGGATCATCGATGCCAAATTGGAAGAAA